AAGTCATGATGGACAATAAGTGTTCTTTTATATTTGAAAATCGGGTAATGACAGGTACATGGGGGGTTTCCAACACCGCCGACCTCTACACTTTGACAGCGATTGTTATATATAAGTAGCGGGGACCAATCAATCCGCACCAACTACTGCAACGAACCTTATATACTATCAGGTCAATCGTGAGCCTTTGGCACTCTTTACGTGGACAGGAAAATGTCCATTTTTGTTTTCACGTTTAAGGACCCTCGTGCCACTAAAGAAAACTGTAAATAAGTATTTAATTTATTATTTTCGGTTCGACTATTGTTTTGATATATCATTTCTGAAAATAATAATCATACATTGCGGCACTTTTATGAGAAATACTAGGTGTGAACAAAACAAAATATACATCCTTAGGGGGGCCCCACCGGAGTATGGACCCTGGACTTCAGATGTTATCACTCTATGGGGCCCCACCGGAGTTTGGACCCTGGACTTACCTCGTGCTATAGAGGATATGGTTAGAAAACTTTTAATAAATTTGACCAGAAACGTCCCGACCCAACTTTGCTATAGTTAAATTTAAACAGAAGTTAAGTGGAGGTGTACATAGGAAACGATTCACTATAAGGAGAACATTAACCACAGACGCGACATCATGCTGCAGTATCGATCCTCGAGATTCTAGGGGTTGCTCTCACTTACGTTGTGCAAAGAATGAAGTTTTTTCTTAAGCAACATGTATAGCCCCATATCAGCACCTGTCATATGGTATCATCTGTATATACTGTATCTAGCAAATACAATTATATTACAATGATGTATGTCTACCATTACCCATCTGCAGAACATAACAGTTCACCGGTATTATTATATGTAATAAAGAAAACATTTTTTTTCTAAAACTGGACTGTTCAGAATAAAGAGAATCTACTAATTTAACCTAGATACAGCTGGATAATTATGCTGATTTAATTGGCAAATACATAAATCCAAAATCACTCTTTCTACAATTACCCTGTTTTAAAAATCTACAGTTTAGATCTATGTAACTATTTAAGCGCAACTGGCATTAACATACTTTAAGCTCAAAAGAGCCAAAATTTCTAAATATTCTATTTGAAATAAATGGCCACTAGTGCCTGCATTTCTCACCTGATATTAAATGGCAGTAATACTTGACAACAAAAGATTGCCGTGAAGTTGCATAGGGGTCAAGGTAATTCATTTGAACACAATCTATAGCCTTTTTCCTCTGCAAGCTAACGTCTGAATATCATCATTACGCAGACCTCGTGCTATAGAGGATATGGTTAGAAAACTTTTAATAAATTTGACCCCTGCAACCTTGAATATTGGTTAAGGTTATTTGTTAGAATAACACTTGCTGCCACTTTATCTAAGCAAGCTTCAGCTTAACATCAGTATTCTAGGCACCGATTGTCATAAGAGGAAGTTATTTGAAAACTTGTACATTTTAGGTATGACATTGAATGTGTATCTAGGTTATGTATTGGAACAAATTTGATACCCTTCACCCCACTGATCTTCCACCAAATATCATGACTCTGGGTAATATGGTTCTTTAAGTCATATAAAGAAAAAAAACCTTGATGAATGAATAAGGGATGTTGCAACATTCAATCTGTGGCAGGGAGCTGAACAGTATATATAAAAAAAATATAGAAAGATGTTTATACAAAGGTAAACAGGATTTCTTAAAAAAATATTAAGTTGAAATATGTGAAAAAAATCAGGATTATTTTGATTAAACAGTGAAAAAGACAAGGTGGTAGCTTTAGAATTATAAAATATAGTTGTGTGTGTTAAAACAAGCAGCTGTCTGTACAGCTATGTCTGTTCTACACTCCACAAGTAGGCAGCTATATTAATGCCAGAAATAAAAAAAAACAATTATTTGCATGTGATTCTTCTAGGAAAATGTTTCGGAAATAGGAACAAGAGGCCCAGGGGCCTTAATAGCTCACCTGGTATTTTATTTTTCAATTTAAAACCTGCTGAGTACCATTCAGGTTTATCAAAGGAGTACAAGTAACAAAGTTGCATCTTCCATTTATAAATATTCAATTCCCTTTGCCCAAAGATTCTCTAAAACAAGTTTGGTTAGGTTAAAATCCCTTCAACGGTACAGAAGGAGAAGGATCTTTAATGTTTTCCTCTATTTCCCCTAATGGGCCCCACTAATCTGCCCCAAAGAAGGGGAATCCACACACCTCAGTTTAAACAAAATTGATTCTTTTCTCCCTAAGCATGCTTCAGACTGCATTTGGTTTAAATCCCTTCACTTGTATAGTAGGAGAAAAAAAATCCTCTATTTCCCCTATTGGGCCCCGCTCCTATGCCGCCAGAAGGCCCACACCCTCCGTTTATACAAACTTGAGTCTCCTTTGTCCAAAGATGCTCTAGGACAAATTTGGTCAAAATCCTTCAATTGGTTGAGGAGAAGATTTTTAAAGATTTACCTATTTTCCCCTATTTGGCCCCGTCCCTCTGCCCCCAGGGGGACCATACCCTCCGTTCATACAAAACTGAGAACCCTTTGGCCAATGATGCTCCAGACCAAATTTGGTCAAAATCCCTTCATCGGTACAAAAGGAGAAGGATATTTGATGTTTTCCTCTATTTCCCCTAATGGGCCCCACCCATCTGCCCTTAGAAGGAGGCCCACACACCTCAGTTTATACAAAATTGATTCTTTTGTCCCTAATCATGCTTCAGACTGCATTTGGTTAAAATCCCTTCACTTGTATAGCAGGAGAAAAAAAATCCTCTATTTCCCCTATTGGGCCCCGCCCCTCCGCCCCCAGAGGGGCCACACCCTCCGTTTATACAAACTTGAGTCTTCTTTGTCCAAAGATGCTCTAGGACAAATTTGGTCAAAATCCTTCAATTGGTTGAGAAGAAGAACATTTTTAAAGATTTACCTTTTTTCCCCTTATTTAGCCCCGCCCCTCTGCCCCGAGGGGGGGCTATACCGTCCGTTTATACAAAACTGAGAACCCTTTGGCCAATGATGCTCCTGACCAAGCTTCAGACTGCATTTGGTTTAAATCCCTTCACTTGTATAGTAGGAGAGAAAAAATCCTCTACTTCCCCTATTTGGCCCCGCCCCTCTGCCCCCAAAGAGGCCACACCCTCCGTTTATACAAACTTGAGTCTCCTTTGTCCAAAGATGCTCTAGGACAAATTTGGTCAAAATCCTTCTATTGGTTGAGAAGAAGAAGATTTTTAAAGATTTACCTATTTTCCCCCTATTTGGCCCCGCCCCTCTGCCCCCAGGGGGGTTATACCCTCCGTTTATACAAAACTGAGAACCCTTTGGCCAATGATGCTCCTGACCAAATTTGGTCAAAATCCTCTGAGCCATTCAGGACAAGTAGCATTTTAAAGGAAAAAGTTGCCGGACGCCGGACGCTGCACCATGGGATAAGCTCACTTGGCCCTTCGGGCCAGGTGAGCTAATAAAAAAGAAAACTTTAATATCTTTTACCACAATGATTGTTGTAATAAATTATTGTCAAAAACATCAAAATGTCAAAATGATCTGAAGGTTTCATCTAACCTTATGACTACAAATTGTACATTAACTCACTCACCCCTGAAGACACATTTGAACTCTTCCACTTCAAAGGTTGGAATAGTTCATTATGCAATTTCAGGGGTGAATGAATTAAGTTACATTTCTCAATCTGATTACAAAATTATGGACTTGACATCAGGGTTGTCCGGAATAAAAGGTGAGACATATTCAACGATTTCCATACTGTGGCAGTACAGGCAACATTACTATTTTGTTCAAAATATGTGTTTGACATGAATACCGGTATCTGGTTATCTACAACTACATACAAACCCTTGAAAATATGACAATGCTTTCTTATCACAAAGGTTCATTGAAACAAAAAACACTGGTACAGACAATCTCAATCAGATAAAACATTATATATCAATGTTTTGTAATTTTTCATATGTGAATTAATAAAAAGACTATAATCATTCCAGCACCAACAAGAACAGCATCTGGAATAATGCAACTTAAGATATATGAATAATGTTCCTTGGAACTGATGCGAGTAAATAAATTGAATTAACTTTATCTACATAATAGTAAATTGCTATACTGAATAATTTTGTCTAAATTTAAGGAAAAATAATCAAGATTATCTGAAGAAATACAATATGATTATTCTTAGATATAAGGTTGTTTAAACACTACACACTTAATAGCATTCTGCAAACATTTCATACTTCCTTCACACTGGAAAAGGTCAGACAACTTTCTACACATGTAGCACCAAGTACCACATACAAGTTAAATAACTTTCAACTCCTCACTACTGCATAACGGGAAACTTTCCCTCAGTCAAATATTCGCCCTTCACATGTAATTACTATATAGGGCAAACTGTGTACTTGTATTCGCTGTAATGATAAATTCGCCCTTATTGCAGAGGACAAAAATGGTGAAAATTAAACTGCAGCGAAAATTTCACAGTATACAGTATTTAACTATTACATATAAGCATTTTTATACAGTAAACAAATTTAGGGCCTTCACGGATCACATCAGGAAAAGAGGAAACAGTGACTTACTCTATCCCCAAATCATATACTTTTTTGTTGTTATACTGATACATGTAAAACATTTGACTGCATTAATAAAAATTAATCAATTATTAGCACTGGATTTCCAAACAAGGCAGTGGGACTGGAATGTCATACAAGGATTTACAGCAGATACAAACACCTACACTACTCAAGTATAATCTATATACACAAAGTTATATATAGTAAGCGGAACCCTTGGATTTTAACGATGACAGTTATAATGATGGGAATCTGAATATGTCATCAATTAAAGCTATTCATTTCCAAATTATTTCAAAATGTGTAGCTGACAGTTAGATTTTTAGGTTATTTACTATTATTGTATCAGAAGGAATACACATCACAGAAAATGTATTTAAAATCTCAATACTTAAATGCAATGTTATTCCTGTTATTCCTTCGTAAAATGAAGAAGTGTGTGGGAACAAAAGAATTACAGCTCATAACTCCAAGTTTATAACAGGAAGTCATTTGTCCCCCTGCATTCTGTTTTATTATACCTATTTTTGCCTAAAGTGAAAAAAATATAAAGCATACCAGTACCTTCTTTATAATACCATGAAAAATCTGTACCAAGCTTCACTATTAATAACCTTTTCTGAACTATAAAAAACAAATATTAAACGCTTGTTTGACTTAAAGCTTCTGAGTGTATGAGTACGCAACTTAATACCCACCTCCGTAATATATATTCAAATATAAGAATGACATAAAATGGCAAGAGCAAAACAGGTTGTATATATATACAATGTGCTATAAGCAATTTTCTTAACCAAATCAAACTTTAAGCATATCAGAGACCATGCTGATGTACAAAATATCATAAAACTTTTAACTACACACTAGTCAGATATCCTCATTAATAATTTTACAAAATAAGATTTAAACGTTAATAATCTAATCTAACAGATATATCCTCAATACAGCACATAGCTTCCCTGTTATCAATGTATAATACCCATTACATCCAATATGTTATGAATACATTTTTTAACACCTAGCAGAGCTGTGAATGACTGTATGCTCCCCTTGTTTCAATTGTGACATCACAACTTCAAACCATCACAGACTTCAACTGCATTGCAATGTCACACAATGAAAAAATCTTTAAGGCAAATTTATATCAAATTTACGATTTCAAGTTTGGCTGGGTAAATATTTCACAAATATTCTGCAATATATCTTTGGTATGTTACGGACAAAATCTTACTTGATCATCACAAATTCTTGACTTTTGTCATAAAACTCTGTGAGATGGAAATTAATATAAGATCCTCTATTTTACATAACAAGACATAGAATATTCATATTTACAAAATAAGACAAACTTAACCTTACTTACACATAGAGATATCCTGTTTTACACAATAAAACATCAATTTTCAGGTCTTTCAGTAGGCCATTTGGAGTATGGCTTTGACCCAACAAATTAGCTTGGACTCCTAGGCTGAAAGATCGTGTCTATTTGACATGTATCTTGATTGTCTAACTTAAAGAAAAAAGGTTGACAACTTAAAATGCTAAATGGGAAAGTCAACTGAAAGACCTCAACATTTTCTACCTAATGTATCTCTATTTATACAATAATTGTTTCAAACCCACCATCAATTATAAATGCTCCCAAAGTTTTTTTATGTGTGGAATAGCCTCTACATATTTCTTTCCAATTAGACCATTTCTTTAATATTTCCCTATATTTTGATAAAATGACCTGTTAGTGTTACTGGATTTTACATCATTGCAGATCAAACACTGTTTATTTCTAATCTTAAACGGGTACATGTGTTCTTAAATGCAAAGTATATTGCTATTTTATTGATTTCTAAATCATTTCCCTATTTTTCTTCTAAAAATTATTATGAAGTAAAAATGCAAATACATTTTAGGATTACATAAAAGACAGTTGGAAAACAATTGTGTTTAATATTGTGGTAATTTTTTGAAGATATTCATTGTTTGGAAATCTGAACACATTTTATGTACCAGGTAATTTTATGATTGGAAGTTTTTGCCTGAAAGATTAAAGTTCGTTTAGAGTATATCTACCATCTAGTAGTGACATACTGACTTATGTACAGTGGGCAGTGAAAGCTAGAATTTCAAAATTTGCATTTGTGCCTATACAACATACCAAATGAACTACCTAATGTATACATCTATATCTTTCTTGATTTACATTGGTTCTCAGAATGAGATCATCATGTTTTATGGAACAAAAATATGCAGTTTGTATAGATATAGCTACATATATTCAAATGTCAACATACAGTATTCAATATGAGATTACATGCAGGTTAGTCATGTAACATGTTGGGTAATGTTTTCGGCATACATTCAAAACACACACATCAGCCCTAGAGTAATATTTCAAAATAAAGCTAAAATCATATTCTGGAAGGGCTTTCTTTGGATGATGGCCCTTGAATATCTAAAATATTAACGCATTACCAATGCTACAAACAAATGTTGCTGAAACTAATAAACAAATTTCGGATATTTAAGGATGTCTCCTTAAAGCAAGCAAAATATTATTTAAGGTAAATGCAAAGAGATAAATACGCCTAATTGATCAATGTCTTTTGAACAGTTGCTCAAACTTGTATTTACAAGTATTCCTATTTTCATTTTTATTCAGTTATTTTGAGGAGTTGCTCCAAACAGAATGCAATTTAGTCGACGGATCATGGAAAAAATATTGAACTGAGATTAAAATAAAAAATCTTTACATGAAACAAAGATCAAAAGGACATCATCCGATTATAGGGTTTAGAAGTAACATGTTAATTCAATGTTGATCATTTCACCTATCAAACGGTTTTATAACTAAGGTTATCTCCCTTGACAAACATTATAAACAGATTTCAGATTTTGTTTGCATTTAGATGTTGCTGACTGCAAACCTTTGACACAAGGTATCAATATGTATAATATTTTAGTAGGAATGTGTAAGATGAAAGATCTTGACTTTTTCTTTGATGTTTCATGATCCCTGTGCTGGCTGTTTCCCAGTTATACCAGATCCAGAACAGTTCCTCACTTGGTCACATTGTTTTCCACGATCGTTGTGCTAGCTGCTTCAGAAATTACACTGGTTCCAAGATGTTCATCAAGTTTTTTTCATACAGAGCGATGATGAGCATAATGGTTGTCCCTAGGATCATGCCACTTAACTGGATGAGAAGGTGGGAAAATGGATGTTCACCTTGACGCGTGTCCACTGCGGTTAACTCGGGCAACTACGGAAATAAACAAACAACAACTACTTTAACACCTAAGCTTGGTATTATCACTTTTTTATGGCTTTTACCAAATAACAGTAAAATTGTTCTGAATAACCCATTTACAATGCACGGCATACAGCCTTGTCAAACATGATACCATTGAAATATGGTGCAAAGCAGTTTTGATGCAGTAATATGTTCATCGTTGTACTTTAAAAAAAGAAAAAATAAAGAAAAATGATTTTCTAATTCAATGCAATATGCATTTCACTTGTATGGCAAAATATATCAATGTCTTTTCAATATTTCTACAGATGACTCACCATATCAACGAGTGCTATGTACAGGAACATGCCCGCCACCGACACGAACACCCAGGTAATGGAGTCCCCGAAATTTCCTACAGCAACACCAATTATCATGCCAACCAATGCGAGGATGGAGGACACACAGTTATACATGACCGCCTGTTTCACCGTCATTCCTGCCCTCAGCAACACAGCAAAATCACCTTGAAACAAAATACACAAGAAAAGTAAGGATCCATAAAATTATATAAACATGTCCTAAGTTCACGCTATGATCAACAGAAAAGAATTATTTCCATAGAAATAAATGTAAACATATTATTGATATTATTTTGATACACTTCACGTCTCCAACGCACAATACTTTTATATTTTGTAAAATTACCAAATACTTAGTAAGTCAGGTTTTCCTTCACGTAATTTTTGTTCTGAGGTTTTGATTTCTGTAACTTTAAACTGCACATTTTTTTGGAAACTGGTTATTGGAAACCTGTTTGAAAAGATTGTATTAAATATCTAACCTTCAACACATACAACTATGAAAAATAAATTAAGTACTGTAGACACTACCAATCTGTCAAATTCTAAGACGGTTCAAGGCAGAGATATTTTAACAGAAAATATGGAACGTACCAATTTCATGAGGTAGCTCATGGCAGAAAACGGCCACAGATGTACTGAAGCCACCAGTTATGGAGTTTGAGAAGGCTGCGCCAATCGCCAACCCGTCACAGAAGTTGTGGATTCCATCTCCAAGAATGACCATCGATGCAATGGACGCCACAGAAGTTGGGAGTATATGGGAGTGTCCATGATGATGATGGGAATGGCTGAGCACGGAACTGGGGTTCTCCTGATCAACCATGTCAAACTGTTTGTCCTTGTCATCGTGGTCCACATGGTCACGTGAACAATTCTTATGGGATGACTCTGCGAAGTTGGTGAGGGCTAAAAACAGAATAAAACATATTTTCAACATGTATCATAAGATTTTGTTTGAGCAATATCATAAAAAAATTGCTGTTGGTAAACTCACATCTGTTGGTGGGCATAGCTTTTATATTTCTAATGAAAATCAGTTGTCAGCTTCAGAGCAAATTTATTTTCAGCTGCCAACAAGTCTTTTTCTGCTATAATGTTTTCTCTACAATCAATATTTTCTTTATGATATTTTAAATAGAAAATGGCTCAACATCTGAAATACTCCTCTGACTAATGAATCTACCAGATACATACTGTATGTTTAAGCAGTAAGCCATTTTAATGCCAACTTATCAATAATCATTACCTTTTTGTCCTGGATGGATGCCCATGATCTGCTCCTTACAGTCAGGGTCAGTGACATGCATGGCACCACACTCTGTCAGTGGAATGCTTGTATTGTCATCAGCTAAATCTCCGGACTCCTTCACAAACACAGACCCTTTCTGAAATGATATGCAATGTTGTCTACAATATGAATTCAACAATTATTAAACATACAGATATACAACTTTTCCATCTTTACATCACAAAACATTTAAACCAAACAGGTAAGACCTGAACAAAAATACACGTGTTTCTGCTAACCCGACCGACCCAATATTTTTGTGTCTACCCTGAAGATTTTTTGGCCATTTTTAAGGAAGGACTATTAAAGTCAGGTTTCTATCTCTATATAGCCTTAGTTAAAACTATTTAAAAAATAAAAAGAATTTCCGACCGACCTACCCTATTTTTTCCTGGCTTGTTAGCGAAAACACAGGTATTATTTTTTAGGCCTAAGTCTCTGTAAGGAACTGTACAATGAAGATTACAACTCATATAATCAATGCAATTTGTTAATTTCACAACTCATCTATCTTATTACGCACCAGGTACTTGTCTCTTGTCTAATGTCACTTGGATAAATACCTCAACATGCGTGTCTTGATGTGTGTTGGTGTAAAAGAAACGGTTAGTAAAATCTTTATATTTCCAACATCTATACAGTGTTATTAAACTTCCTTCTAACTCTCCCACACAGATATTCTGAAATAATTAGAAAACAAATAATGGTTTCCACTACTGTCCTTCTTGTGCTTGCGTTTGAGGTCTGTGACAATAGACAGCACCCTCTCCATGGTGAAGAAGAGGAAAATAGCACCCATTCCGCACAGACCCTTCAGGACAGCTGTCTTGTGGCTGTCATCTGCCTCACTGTTACCATGACTACTGAGGTCATGACCACCCTGCAGTGCCTATATTGATATAAAATAATACATGAACTTGGGGTTGGTAGCAAACATTATTTAACAATATACATACATTGTATATATATTTACAAGTATCTTAACTGATTCATGACTCTTGGGTCTCTTGTATGCTTTTATTTTGGAATTTGTTTAACGTAACTCTATATCCTTCCAAACCAGTAACATACAGTTTTATTGTACAATTAACAGTATTGTGTAGGCATGTGAACAGAGCAGATATCTTCTCCTTCCTATATGATAAGTTCCACAGGAGATTCAGTCCACACAGCAGGAAAATTAACCCCATTTACCCAATACATAATGTAGAGGCCCATAGCTAGGGTTACTTAATTATATATTTATATCATTACTTACATGTGGTAGGAGATGTAATAAGGCATCCCCTGCTAGGGCCCCCACAGCCAGAGCCACTAGGAACAGGAGCAGGTGGTTGTAAAAGACTTTCTGCATGATAGGGACAACGGCTACACCAAGAAGCCCAACCAAACTGATGACCACAACAGCAATGGTTGAATATCCCCACACTAAAAGGCAGAAAGAGAAAACTACTTTAATTTTTCTTTTCAAACAGTATATTATATGAAAATGTAATTCAAAAAAATGAAATCATACAAGCTAGCTATCAATGCTTTTTTTAAAGTTTGCAAAATGTACAAATTAAAAAAATAATCTCAAATGTAAAACTTACACTGGACCTAAACTAAACATGTGCTACGGTGCAGTAATAATGGGAGACAGCTTTATATTCTGATTTCATAAAAACCTTTAGAAATATGTTCAAGGCTCTTTCCACAGACAGGGGAGATAACCTCAGATTACTTCACCTATCAAGTACATGACTATTTTCCCTTCTAAATGACCTTTAATTATAAACATTCAACTTCACTTATTGTTGAAAAACTTTGTCCCTTATTCAACGACACATAACAGCATAAGGACACTACTTCCAGATGTACTATTTGGTTCAACCCTTTCTGGCAATTATATAAGACATAAACAATACACACACCCCTTCTGCTGGTATATCTTTGAAAGCGATATTGATAGCCTGTTTGACTGAGTGGGCTTGATGGTCAGTGACCTTTTTCCTACACTCGGCCCGAGAGAGTGTGCACAGTATCCCTGGACACATCTGTAGTAACCGGTTAGTTGTCACTGTCTCATCCCGGTGAATGTGAAACCGGCTGATCAGGTCATCACACTGGAAAAAAAATCATCACACTGTAAAGGGCAAATTATTGAAAGAGCATACAAATAATAACATAAACAGAAAAATGTCAAAACTGATTGTTTTTGTTTGAATTGTATAAGCATTTTTAAAAATTGCCCATATAACATATACATTTATTCACATCAAATAAAATTAAAATACACCCTTCTCATCTTAATTCTATTTGTGTCTCTAATGAAAAGTCTTGGTTATTGCTATATATTTTAAGTGTGTGTTTGTTCGTTTATCATTTACATTAATGGCACAGCATCGATATCCTGATAAGATCATTTGGGGTCTTTGCATTAATGTAGAACGGTTATGCATTTAGTGAGCAAAGGTGACAAGTTAAAAATAAAATAAAAAAATGAATATGATATAAAGATTATCATTGATATAGTATTGCAGTAATTTACCTTTTCATTATTTGCCTGAGATTCAACACCTCCCTCTAAGTGATTGTGAGAGTCCTCCGATTCATTTTGTATCTTCCTTTTTTGCCTCCCCACAAGACTGCTTGAGCGACGTCTACGTACATCATGATCAGAGTTATTTGAAAGTTTATGGCTACCTACACTTGTATTATTAGAATGTGTATGGTGATGATCATCATGATTTTCATGATCCGAGTCATGATTATGATTTTTATGATCCGAGTCATGATCATGATTTTCATGATCCGAGTCATGATCATTATTTTCATGATCCGAGCCATCATGATGATGATCTTCGTGGTCTGTTTCTGGATTATGTTTTTCGTGATCTGAGTCATGAATATGCTCTGAATGATCTGCATCATGACTATGGCTGGCATGACTATCAGTTATTTGATGAGAGTGTTCAGTATGGGAGTGGTTTGCTGGTACTTTAAGATTTATCCCCAGGCTCTCCAACATATGTATAACACTGTCATAGTTTAATACACCATCACTACCAAATCTATCAATCAAATCTGTCACATAAAGGTTTTGCGCATTTAATAACTCATCTTTGAGGTTGGTCTCTTTAGACGTTTCCTCATGGTCGTGATGATTGTGATCTGAAGAGGTATCATTAGGCATCCCATGTTGATGTGTTTCAGAAGAAATGGTAGGTTGTGAGGCAGAGAGGTTTGGACTTTTGTTAGCGTGGCCGATAGTCGGGAGACAGGTGAGGGTGTGTAACGTGAGACAGATGAAACAGAACTGAGAACTCTGTGTGAACAACATATTGTTGGTTCAGTCGACTCCTCTGGTCAGTTTTTCTTGTAAGGTCAGTCTATCAATCTGCAAAAACAATTTAGTGTAATTGAGGTTTATTCACAATGTAAATGTATCATCAATTATTTTGACAAAGTTTTTTTTATCATATTTTTTCCTCCTTCAAATTTGCAACATCATGGGGGCCGTCACCTGACTGGGTCACAGGTTCAAGACCTATGTGGGGCAGTCGCCAGGTACTGGCCGTTGGTCAGTGGGTTTTCTCCGGGAACTCCAGCTTTCCTCCACCACCAAAACCTAGCTGCACACCCTTAAATGACCATAGCTGTTAATAGGACTTAAAACACAAACAAATCAAATGCAACATCTAAACTTACTTGAGCTTATCCCTATTTTATTACTCGAGTCAAAGGAAAACGAAACTTGTGAGGTCCAAATATTAATTAATGATAACAATTATCCGAGTATTCCAATAGCTGAAATATTGAATTTTAGTTTCCTAGGGAATGACGTTATATTTTAAACTAAATTAAAAAATAATGGCTGACAGGGGCACTTACATATCAAGACAACAAAATAACATCTATATTGTGGTAGTAGTGCATGCTCAAAGGCACAAGAATTGTCGGACACAATTTCCATGTTTTTCAGGGTTATTTTTAGATTGAGTGTGCTCAAAATGGAAAGTGTGTAGTGTATTTACCCCCTTGGTAAAATATTCAAACCAAATTAGAATATGACTTCTGTTGAGTTTCTTTCAGATGAAATCATTTGACAACCTGAAAGTGTTCAATTTGGAAATCAAGACACAAAAAAATAATAGCAAATTGCCAATAACCAGTTCTAAAGATTCACAATTAGCTTGATTCTAGTTTCTGTTTACGGTTCAAATTCATTTTCTATTATAATTTCTTAAGTTCTGCATAATTTATTCTGAATCTTTTTTTTTTTTGCTCCTCATTATCCTTGTACATATTGGAGTATGATGCAACCCATCAATCTTTGGGGGTTTGTTAATTTCCACTTCATTAAGACGGAACATTATACATCTATGACGATGGAAACGTACCTTGAAAGTTTGAAAACAGTGTATGGTTTCCCTTTCTAAACACACACCAACCATATCATTTTCTGTCTTATATTATTAATATAATATCTGTGCTATTTCTTAAAAAAACACGTGATTGCATTGATCTCACTTAAATTATTATGAGAATTTAAACACACCCCAACCATATCATTTTCTGTCTTATATGATTAATATAATATCTGTGCTATTTCTTAAAAAAACCACCACGTGATTGCATTGATCTCACTTAAATTATTATGAGAATTTCAAAAGAAAAATCAAATAATAAATTGAATCTAAAGCACAAATATAGTTAGTTTGTTCTTATATATTTTGTACCAAAGGATATTTAAGAAACTGATTAGTGTAGGAACTGGCGTCCTACAGTCTCTAAACGATCTATCAGTCACATGAAATAGCACCACGAGACGGGCGGCACCTAGGCCTGCTCCGAATATATCGCGCCAGCTGCCTATCTATCGCATGACACACCTGACCTTACGCAAAGGTGTATGCACATACTTTGATCAATTTCTGCAATACTTTATTCATCCTAAAGTTGGTAAAAGTTATGTTTTCAACTCAAACATTACTTTTAAACCGACTAGCTTCAATATTTACCTTTTGTGGCAATTTTGAAGTGTCGTGTGCACAGGCTGAAAACGTGATTCAAATATGGCTGCTCGATTCACGAGACTCCCGATTCACATATCTAAAGTCATTCGGAACTTTCTAGTGTTTTCTCAAAGCTATATGACTCATCAAAATGCTATCCGAATGTTTTAACTCGGGGAATCATAACTAGGTCAATCGATATATGATGTATCTGTGTCTAGACACAGACTGTATAATATATATATTTAGTTTCGCCTTGATTTCGGAGTGGTATCGTTAATCATGAGGTTGACTTTAATTGAATAATTAGTCCCTTTCACGTTAACTGCTGGACAGTACGTCGCGCATGCGCACAAATGCCACTGAGTGGGTTCCTGGATATATACGTAAACAACCATCATGGTGAAAACCTGCAGTGTATACAAGTGCGCAAACCAGTTTGACCGGTCAAAGAAAGTAAGAAGTTTTTTTCGGTTCCCAAAAGATATGCGGAAGCGGAAGACATGGTAAAAGCACTTAACAGGGATGGTTGGGTTCCTAACGAAAGTTCGTGGATATGTTCCGAGCATTTTATCGACGGCTGGCACGGATATGACCCTGCTGACAAGAATTACGCTCCGACAATTTTTCAAATACAAGGTAAAAAATAAACAAATAAGGTTATTTAAAAGGTGGTAAATTTATTACAATCACTTATATTTTATATGACAAAAACATACAAAACATGTCAGTAAAATATTTAAACAACAGCAACCGTCAGACCACAGGGGTTCGTTACACACTATGCTATATTATACTGAAATGGGTCACAGCACACATACATGTTCGGTCTCACTTAAAAGCGTCTTCAACCGACAACAAGCGTCTTCAAGTGACAACAAGCGTCGCCAGGCAAAGTCTTTAAAAATGCTGAATAAAGTAAACGACATCAGAAGCTAATACACCTCTGTACCAAATTTTAATTTGATAAATTTGTCGTGAATTCGGTGTGTGTTATTCACACACCGTCACAACAAGTAGTTGTAAATGCTCTCAGCTCCTGAAATCAAAGACAAGGTGGAGGAAATTCACTCACGTGTTGCTGGTTCGATATCAAGAAGTATAAGAGACCGCGCCAACGCGTCACAGCGATGATATCACGTAGCTCACGAGATCTCGTGTCGGCGCGGTCCACGGTCCAAGGGAGATAACTCTCCCGAAATTCACCACACTCCTCCCCGTTTTATGAAGGCCCCTTCTGGGGCCTGGTTATGGCCAGGAAGAAGTCCATTGATCGGAAACCGCCTAGGTGTTGGCGCTTGGCGTCGGCCAGACGGATGTCGGCCCTCCGGAGGTGGATTAATGGGGAGGTCAGAATCCCCCTTAAATGAACAGTGTTTTGCGAAGGTCAGATCCCCCCTTAAGTGAACAGTGTTTTGTGAAGGTCGGAACCCCTATTAAGTAGATAATACATTGTCGCCCTCTAGAATTGAGCGACAAGTTATTTAGTAACTCCTTAAGTAACAATATGTTAAGCACAGTCCTACCGTACCCATTTGGAGATGAGATTAGTGGTGGAGGCCAGTGTTTGATTTAGGCCTCAATAATCACAGCTTCTAGACTTGCTGGGCTTATCTCCCCAAGGAACACCACGGCTATGGATACAATCCACACGATAGGCACAGTCACCCCGTGCCTTGATAAGTATGAGAATAGTCTCCCCGTGACAGTGCCCAACATTAGCTACGGGGAACGTGGCAACACTGTTGGTCGATACAACAGTGTGCTCCCCTGCAAATTGCATTGATGGGCATGCTGCCTGTAGGCGGCCCCATTTAAGCTGTTATCCTACCAATTACTGGCGAAGGGAGCTGTCTTATCACAATAGGAACCTAGGTAGCCAATAAAATGTTCAGGGAAAGAATGCCCTCCCAATTTGTAAAAAGATGTAGGATGACTTGGTTTTAGAGGATAATAGGGAAGCTTAACCTCCCCTGCCTGTGGATGCCACAGACAAGTCCAGGGGCTACTTTAGTGCCCCCCACTTTGAGTTTGGAGTTAAGGAGGAGAGAATCCCACTCCCCTTACTACCACCGTACTTCTAACGTGCTGACGGGTTACTCGCACGGAGTGCGGGAGTAAGCTGGTGGGGAAGTGATCCCTCCCCACACTGCAGGTGTGCCATACAACTGGCGACGACAGTTGG